ATTTCAATTCGCACTTTGTCCATATTTTCACATTCTGACTTCGAGGTGGCGTTGGATTCGTCAAAACCTCATTTATTAATTTACATATCTACTACTATATAGTCTAAACGTAATATTTTACGTATATTTTTGACTTCAAAAATCACCTAGACAAACAAAACGCATGTCCAGTAGCGAGAGACAAATAAATGTAATGCTTTTTTACCATGTATCGACTTTATTTTGTTATCAGACATTGTAGGAATCGACAGTATATGATGTTATTAGTGCTTAGTAAAATTAGTGTTTTTGATAACAATAATAATATTAAAATGAGTGGAGCATAGTCAGCATATTGTGGGTGATACAAATAGAGGAACGAGAATAGGAAAAATTAATACTGAAAAGTGGATTGAACTATTCACAAAAAGCAAGCAAAGCAGTTTTTTAAATCAATGAAGGTGGAATCTTCTGATATCGTGGCATATTGCTTTGATCTGCAGGATCTCCAAAATCTCCCAAAAGCGCCTATATCGGAAGCATTCTATGCTCAGCAATTGTCTTTTTATGCATTTTGTGTGACAGATATTTTAACAAAAACTCTTGTTTTTTTTTTACATGTTTTGAGCATGAAGCAGGAAGAAGTATGGTAGAAATAGGTTTCGCGGTAACTGACTTTCTAAAAAAGACTGATTTTTACCCAGATATTAAACATCTAAGATTATTTTCGGATAGATGTGGGGGGTCAGAATAAATATTCTCACATGGTACACGCACTCACCTTGTAGCTTTTGAATAATGCCCCAAACACTATTAAAACACGATGACGTTTCCCGTTCGTAGACATTCGTTTATGCCAGCTGATCGAGTTTTTGGTCAAGTTGAGCTAGACTTGCTTTTATACAGATTGAACGAAATAAATTCGGAACATACGAAATATGATGTATTTCGGCTTAATTCTGCTGTATGTGGTTGCCAACAAAAGGTTGTCAAATAATTATATTATAAAAATCCAATACTTCAGCAGGCTGCTGCATTCTGAAATCATAAAAATTGAAAGCTACACATAAATCTACGATTTTATTATGCTGTCAAACCACTTATAGTCCAGGAAATGAAGCATTTCACCTCGCAATTTTTTTGTCCTGCGTGGATTGACTTGAAATTTTAACAGAAGGTAGGTAATAGCCAAGGATCAAAATCTATATCGAAACCAAGTGCGCCAAAGCCTTGAGGGTGGTTGCCACCTCATCTCGGGGGTGAAATTTTTTTTTTACGTTTTAACTACAGGTTTCGATTAAAAAAGTGATTGTAAACAAAAAATGTTTTATACCTTTTTTTTTGTAAAACTGATATTTTTCAAGTTATTCGCGATTAAAAGTAACAACTTTTAGACGAAAAAATCGACGTTTTTAACCGATTTTTCGCGAATAACTCGAAAATGGTGCATTTTATCAAAAAAATTGTAGAGAACAAATTTGTAACTTTTAAAAAGACAAATACAATTCATTTTTTAAAATGTTTTTGCGATATAACAGGAACCGAAATACGGTCTATCAATGTTCAGCGGTTTTCTTCAAATGCCAAATTTGAAAGATTCAAAGTCAAATATCGGGAAAATGATGCATTTTTGGAAGAAAACTAACAGAACCTTTTTTTAAAGAGCATAAATAGACCTATCATAAAAAAAGACTCTAGCTCAAAAATTGAGTGAGTTATGATAAAAATAAGGTCAATACCTCATTTTTTTTACGAAAAAATCGATGAAAACAACCCCCTAACCACACCCATAATTAAAATCGATCTTCACCCTCCTGCAATTCTCTTTGTACATGTATTGTTAATACGTCCAAGAAGTTTAACCCATTTAAAATGCTTAGTTTTAGAAAAAGTACAGCATAAAGCGAGAAACGATTTACAATTTCATATTTTTACCCTTCTTTTTTTAAATATCCCCGAAAATACTGAATATATGAAAAAAATAAAAATGTACTAAATTGTAGCTTTTTTAATGACTAAAATTTTCCTTTATTTAGATTTGTTGTACAATGAATATTTGGCGAGATATAGCCGTTTAAAGCATCGATTTACGATCAAGCACCATCTTTTTCGAGCCCTTTAAACTCACCCCATTTAAAAACCAAGGGTTCCAAAAAGATTTAATTCACAGATCCTTGTAGCTCTTAAAAACCTCTACAAAACCGTTTTTGAAGAAACACTATATCGTTAAAAATGAAGGAAATACGTTAAAAAAAGCAATTAATTTTTTTTTCCGGAAAATTCCATTAGTATAGTACAGTATATTTCGGAGCATAATAATCTACAAAACCGGTATATTAGGTAGTGGGACGTTATACATTTGAAATTTTAAGCGTTCTTATTTTGAAATCCCATACAACAGAATAAAACATCTGCTCATTATGTCTATGGCTTGGCAATGAAAATATCAGAGCAACAGATTGGGGATGGTATTCGAAAGATGGTTTTTTATTACCCGTACGCATGAACAAACAACCTGCACCCGATGAACTTTTGTTGTTGTTATAAATGTAAATATTTTCAACTATTTATGTAAATGTATAAGAATATATGGTGCCTTTTTATGTTGATAAATTTTTTTGTATTTAATTTTACTTTTTTTAATTTATATCTATTAAATTAGTTTATAAAAACTGCAATGTTATAAAGGGTGATACTCAAAAGTTGAAAAGTTGCAAAATTTTGGCAAAAAATTGTTTTCACCTATAGCACTCATAACAATTGATTTTTAAGGGTTGAAAATGTATGAAATTGTATTTTAAAGTATAAAAAAATCACTATTTAACTAATCCAAACCAAATTTCACTCATCTTAAGATTTGTAATGTTATTTTACAATTTTTGAAAATAAGGGGTAGTTTTCACCCCTAAGAACAATCAGGGTTCATCGGCATGACATAAACTATAAAGCAGAGGGTGAGTTGAGCTTAATTCCAAATTTTTATCCAAATCGTTCCAAGGCGAAATCATTTTCTTCGCATTACTACTTTTTTTTACATTAATCTCTAACAAGGGTCGCTTTTTAAGGGTTGAAATATGATGGAACTTTATTCAAAAGCACGAAACTATCATTATTTAATTAATTCAAACCAAATTTTACCCATATTCAGGTTTAATATGCTATTTTATAATTTTTGACAACTAGGGGTAGTTTTCACCCCTAAGAACAATCAGGGTTCGTCGACATGACATAAACTATAAAGCAGTGGGTGAATTGAGCTTAAATCCAAATTTTTATCCAAATCGATCCAAAGCGAAATCATTTTTTAGAATTAGTAATTTTGTTACATTAATCTCTAACAAGGGTTACTTTTTAAGGGTTGAAATATGATGGAACTCTATTCAAAAGTATAAAATAATCATTATTTAACTAATTCAAACCAAATCTTAGTCATATTCAGGTTTAATATGTTATTTTATAATTTTTGACAATTAGGGGTAGTTTTCACCCCTAAAACCCTTCAGCGCACTTCGGTTCGATATAGATTTTGATCCTTGGGCTATCACCTACCTTCTGTTAAAATTTCAACTCAATGCATGACGAAAAAAATGCGAAGTTTTAACTTTTTTCGAGCTTCATTTTCTGCACTATTATCGCTTCTTTTACGCAAACAACATTGTAACATTGTTGCGAGACAGATAGTTGTACGATATTTTATACAATGTCTATACCCAGGTATGGATTTATTTTTGTCCAAGTTTTATATTGGTCCACTATTTCAAATGCAGTTCATTCGTTCAATCTGTATAGTCATTATGAAATCTATTCTAATAAAGAACAAGTACGTAAGTTGGGCTCTGATTGGACTTTGTACGACATAAAACATGTAGCACTTTTACTCAAAAAAGTTACAGGTATCAGTGGAGCCAAAAGAATAATCATAACTCGAGGTAAACAAACTGCTGGGGAAAGTAAAATCTTGTATAAAACAGAGGTATTGTATAGAAATGATAACACTTTTAAAAAGTTTTCAAGTTTAATTCAACCACAGAAAAAATTAAGTAACATAGTACTGCTGGAATTGAAAATGAAGTATGCTATTAAGCAGAAAAAACTGGATAGCTTATCAAAATTTTTAGTAACTTTAACAAGAAAGGAATGGGCATTACTTCCAGAGTTAACTTGGTTAGATCCAATTTTGAAAGAGCAGTATCGTGAAAATACAATTAAAAAAGACCTGCGATCATTGTGAAAATGGAGAAAAATGTCTCTGTCTTCTCGAGGATGACATACATGTCATAGGATGTTTTTATTATATTGCATTCCAAACACGCAGAAATGTATTTTCAGTTCATATATTTTTTTAATCATTTAAGGACAATCAAACTACATTTTGTCATTTAAAGACAACCAAATGGCGTTTTGTCCATCAATCTTTTTTTTTCTGAAAAAACTTTATAAATTTATAAATAGGAAAGTTTGATAATAAAAAGGTACATTTATTCATATTTTGTGTTTTTATTTTAACTTTATTAATATTTGAGTAGAAGTTTTTCTCACTTCCTCAAAAATGTTAAAAATGGATAATGTGCGATATGAAAGTCTGCTCCTCATATGTAAATGTTAAGTTAGAGCATCTTAGTAAAGAACAATAAATATACTTTTAAAAATTATGTTTTTAAATCCCATGAGAGTATTGATATATAATGTAAAATAGACAATTGTAATAATTTAGGATTTTATAAAAAATGTCCATTAAATAGCAACCTCTGCATACAAAATTCATTATACAATCAAGACATTCAATAATGCATTATTCTAGGCATACACTGTACACATACAAATTCCACATCAACATTCTACAACTAGCAGATAGAATAGTTAAAAGCGTGGAATATTTGAATTCGAAGAGCACATTATCGGAAAATTAACTCCTGGAAAATTGGTAAGTAATGGAAAATATTAAATATTTACTAGGAAGACCAGACCAGTACCTAAACAATACACAACATCAACATCCAACATCAGTCTATTGTACATACCGTTTACGAATTGACTATCTTTATCTTCAGTGGGAGACTCAGCAGCAGACTGGGGTCCAGAGTCAGCTCCCCCGGTAGCACTGTAATTTCTATATTAAGTTTTTATGTTACATTAAGCCCTATAGAGAAAGTAAGATACCCACTTTTTTAAGTTATTAATAACCATTTTTTTTAAACTCAAACGACAAATTAAATTCTACTCTCAGATAAAAATTTGTATCAAATATCTGGTTAAAAATTATAAAATAATACTTTTTATACGACGTTTCAGCGTCAAACAATTGTTTTTGTTTTTTTCCAAATAAATCATATTTCTGTTCGATATTCAATATTAACTATAGTCCATTTCCATCATATTGATAGCACATTATGCATGCAAATTCCTAAACTGTTGATACGGGTGACTCAATGAAAAATAGATATTTGTCAACAAGTTTACAGAAGTATACAGGAAAACAATTTTAAATTGAGTATGACCACCAGGTATAAAGGTTGAAGCAGAATAGAATACAATAGCTTTGAGGGTTACTAATCCCTAAATAAAGTTGCCAGTGTCGGAGTGATATAGATTAACAGGTAGGTACTAATGAATTTGCAAGAAATGTAAGATGTTTATTTTATTGGTTATATATAAAATAATTTGTGGCCGTAACAGGGGCCGATTTGTAAAAAATGAATATTATTTTAATCAAATTCCATTTCAGATTCACTGCTTTCTTCAGAATCTAAGGAATCTTCAACTCCAATGTTAATTATTACCGGTTCCAGCATTGCATCAGTCATATTATCCAAATTCCACATTTTATTTTCTTCCTTGTAATCATGACTAACAGCATTTTTCCAATTTTTTGGAGTTACTTTTGATAAGGAATGTTTTAATAATTGTTGTAAGTCTTCTAATTTAAAAGTTTTATTGTTGCGTCCGACTTCACCCTTTACTTGAGACCATGTATTTTCTATCGGATTCAGATCACAGTGGTATGGGGGTAAACGTAAAATAATTACATCACGGTTTCATGCGATTTCATCAATTATATATTTTTTTATAAGCTGCTTTATGTTGCCTTACAATAGGTAATAATTCCTTTTTTGTCGAATTCTCCTTGTACTCAATTGCGTGTTTATCCAACCATTCAATGATCTCTCCTTTTTTCCATGCCGTTGTTGGCAATTTTTCTGCTAGTCTTGAATGGTAACTAGCATTATCCATGACTATGACAGAATTTTTTGGAATTAAATCCAACATTTGCTCAAAATATTCTTCATAAACGTCAGCAGTCATTTCCTCGTGGTAATCTTTGGTTGATTTTGAGGCAAAACTTAATAATTCACCATTGACAAAACCGTATTCGTTTCCAATATGGGTTATTATGAGTCTGCGTCCTTTTCCAACGGGAATATTGTTTATTTCAGTAGATACACCTTCGATGAATGCCTGACGAGAACTTTTCACATTTGTATCAACCCATAGATATGGTATAGTATGACCTTCATTTAGCCAAATCTCGTCCAAATAAAAAAATGGGTTTCCCTTCTTCTCAGTACTTTTTAATAGTTCTTAAATAATCTCGTCTCCAACATACAATGTAATATTTTTCAATTAAAACGGATTTTCTTCTATTCTTTTGCCAATGAAATCCCATCTCTCTCAATAGTCCCCATAATTTCTTGTTGCTTATGATTGGTAACTCTTCGTTTTCTCTAATTAATGTTTGGATTTTGTCCAATGTTGGAAATTCTTTGTTAAAAAAAAAATGAGTGGACGCTGCGTCGTATCATGTTTTTATGCATTTCTTCAATTTCCAAGAGTTTACTCCCTCCACTCTTCTTGGGAGATGAAACAGTTCCTCCTTTTCTTTCTTTTAGGAATCTATAAATTGTTGCTTCTCCAACCCTTTCATATTTGAACACATGTTAACGATTTCACGAACATTACTTAAAGGGCGTTGATGTACAAGTGCATCTTGTACATTTAATATCACATTTTTCTCTCTTAGACTCAAGGCACCTTTAAAACTACACTTAACCGGGATAAAACCTGTTGACGTCATTTTTAAATGCAAATAACAAAATATCGACACCAAAAACGTAGGTAGGTAAGACATGAACAATGTACATCTACAAACTAAATGGAAAACAATGGCAAACAATTTCTAATTTATATTATTGGCATAAGCTGTAATGTGACATAAAAACTACTTAAACTATCATTAGTGAAGCCTTATCAGTAATTCCAGGTAATCGTTCAAAGAAGGTATTCTTTTTGTGTCAGGCAATAACTTGTATAGAAAACAATAATCACCTTTAAATTGCTGTTTATATTAATTTATTTCGTGAAACATTGAATTCTCTCGTTAATCACCAGTGTATAATAAATTAACAATAATCGTGTGGCATATATAAAGACGTTTTTTACGCACAAAAAAGGTATAGTGAGATTAGTGGACACTTATTTTACAGAAGATTTTTTAAAAGATAATGAATTGTTGACGGAATCTTAAAATATTAATTTTTTTTATTTATTTCAAAACAAGTATAGGGTGTCGCCTATGGTTTTTTGACCTGTTGAGGATTTGCATACATATTTGCAATGTGCTATCGATATGATGGAAAAGGACTATATAACATTTAATTTATAAAATACAAAAGAATCAAGTGTAATAGACAAAATGAATAAATTCATTATTTTAACCACAGTGTATATTAAAAAAAAACTAAACACAATTTTAGATTTTAAAATTACATCGTGATTCGTAAGAATTCCATCCCTAGTATGAGTCACATTATTCAAAAGGTTACTTTGAGGTATATTGGTGACACAGTTTGGATTCCGCAATAACCTTGGAACAAGAGAAGCACTATATTTAGTATTCAGGTTATGGTACAGAGATGCAGAGATGTCGGACATCCAGTTTATATATGTTTTATTGTCTTTGAGAAGGCCTTTGATCGAGTAAAATATACTGAAATGATAGCCATTCTTCAGCAGGTAGGTATTGATGATAAAGACCTACGCATTATTAAAAATCTTTACTGGCATCAACGTACAAACATCAGGATTGGCCGGGACACTTCTGAAGAGCTTCAAATACGAAGAGGAGTAAGGCAGGGCTGCATTTTGTCTCCGCTACTATTTAACATCTATTCTAAGTTCGTTTTCAATAAAGCAGTGGATAATGTTCAATGTGGTATAAAAATTAATGGCGTCAATATTAATAATTTGAGATATGCGGATGACACAGTGTTAATTGCAAGCAATTACGAAGAACTTCAACATCTAATTAATAGGATTACCACAACATGTGATGAATATGGCCTTAAGCTAAACACCGGAAAGACAAAGGAGATGGCGTCAGTAAAACGCCAATACAACCGGAAGTGGTAACAGCTTATGGTGAACAACTGGAGATAACTAACAGTATCACTTACCTTGGTTGTAATCTAAATGAGAACTGGGACATAAGCAAAGAAATTAGAATACGGATAGAGAAGGCCAGAGCTGCATTCTTTAAGATAAAGAAACTATTATGTGGAAACAATATTACTTTAAGTATGAAAATTAGATTAGTGAGACGTTATGTGTTCTCTACTCTTTTGGATGGTGTCGAGGGTTGGACTTTGATGGATACACTTCTCAAGAAACTGGAAGCCTTTGAAATCTGGGTTTATCGGAGAATCCTACGAATAAGTTGGGTGGATAAAGTTCGTAACGAAGTTGTTTTGCATCGGATGGGAAAAGTTACGGAAGTCGTCAAAACAGTTAAAAATCGCAAACTTGAATATTCTGGCCATGTTATGCGCCACCCAGAGAGATATAATATACTCCATTTAATAATACAAGGCAATGTAGATGGAAGAAGAGGGACAGGTCGAAGAAGAACGTCATGGCTTAGAAACCTGAGAGATTGGTTTAACAGATCCTCTGCATTTCTTTTCCGAGCTGTCGTCAACACAATTACTATAGCCAATTTGATAGCCAACGATCGATAATCGAGCAAGGCTCATGAAGAAGAAGAATTATAATTCAATCAAACTTTTTATCGCAGCAGTTGTCAGTGTAATGTTAGAGACGAGTTAGTCCTTGTTAATTTATAGTTATTAGTTAATATAATATGAAAACGTCAGGGAAAGAACGTACATAGTCACTTTTTTATAAAATATTAAGTTCTAAACTATAAAAACTGCATACCTACTTCAAATTTATGTTAAGTGAACATTGCACGTTCTTTTCATGAAGTCTTCATATTATGTTTGATAATAATTATCGTTTGTATTATTAACAATGTTTTACATGAACCGGGAGCAGGAGGGCAGGTAGCAGGGAGGATAAGAGGGAGGCGTATGTCCAGCAATGAACACAGTGTTAAAAATCAACCAAAACTTTTAAATTAATATACCTAAATTCGTTTTCTAAATACATTTTTTTCTTGTTTCAGCTAAAGAGCCCAATCCTGAGCTTGGTACTTGGATTGAAGAAAATATAAATGTGGAAAATGCTGTCTACCAGACTTTAAATCCAATAATATACAGTAATGATGACATCATCACATCTGCTAGACTAGGTGAAAGTATTTGTACTACAGAATCAAAAAATGACGTGATTCCATCTACCTCATCGCATAATTTACATTCTCCGGCCAGAGAAATAGATGACTCAATCCAACATAGTGATTTTTCTGATTCTAGTGAATCATACGTACCAAATATTTCAGAGCTGTCTAGTGATGAAAATAGTAATATAGGAGAAGTTATTCAAGAGAAATTTAATCCAGAACTGTCTAACAATACAGTAGCACCTAATGAAAACTGTGTGTTTTGAGAAAGAGGGTTGCAGACCCCTCCACTTGGACCAGAAATGTGAGAAACGGAAAACGTGTGTCAGGTAAGACGTATGTACACCGCTCTGGAAAAATAATGCCTGAAAAAAAGTTGAAGATGTTGACTGCTCTAAATGCCATTTTAAATGCTCCCAAAAAATATGTCAAATGTAAAGAGAAAAGATATTCAAAGATTATTGGCAGCTGAAAGATCCATGTAGACAAAAATCATTAATTTGTGCAGTTGTAAAAAATAATTTAAT